ACAGTTTGCCTAATTTAACGCATGGAGTTTGCACACTTGGCTTGACTAATTAATAGACATCGTCACTGCAAATATTTTTCCTTATATTGACTTATTTGTATGCCTTTTCTTTCAGTTTTCAAATTACCTTTAATTAAGTGCCAGGTAGGATGTGCTTCACTTCAACAAACTAAGTGTCTGCCTTCACCGGAATCGTATTCTAGAACTGACTGATGCTTGTTACATTTGCAATTATGTGCAAATATTTTGTAGTAAATGTGGGTAATTAATAAGTCGTTCTGTGAATTCCACTTTGGAGCAACAAGTAGCTTAAGAGCATCTAATGGCCACAGAGCGGCAGTATTGGCCAGTGAATAGAGGTAAGTCATGTTCAGTGGATTAAAGGTCTCCCAGGACTATCTCTAACTCAGCCAACAGTATAGTCCTACAAGAGGTTTCATCCTTCCTAAGGATTTTATTTTTATATGCTTTTTTTCCTACTATCAACAGCACTTCACATGCCTTGTTCTGCAAAGTGATTTTATTTTCTGAGGTAGTCTGAGGTAGAGACAGGCTGGAATTAAGTGCATGCTGCCATTTTTCATCGTTCATTAATGCTTAAAATCAATTTGAAAATGTGCACAGGTTCTGAATAACTACAGCATGTGTACGCTACATTTAATTAAATTACTTGTCAGAGTAACAGATCTGAAACATTTTGTGCCTTGTCATTAATCTAATCTGGAGCTGGTTCCCCCCTCCCCCATCTGACTGTTTTCAGGAGAACAGAGTGACTGATGCAACAACTTGTAAGAGAGAAACACGGGTCTCTACAATGTATATGTGACAATATGCAACAAATGTTCCTTTTTAAAGAGGCAAAAAAGTGAGTGGAAGAATTCTTTAGTTACTTTTTTTGCATCCATGGACTGTGTGGTAACTTTGAGTCTGTGCCTGATGAATGTGTAATAACTGGGCTCATCCAAATTTCAGACCAGTGATGGTAGAACTTTTTTCTTTTCCAGTTATGCATGAGAACACTGTGGGATATTACTATGAAAGCATTACATCACTCACAGCTTCTTGTTTGAGGAAACTGATGGGTTTCTTTTAAAAATCCTGGCATGGCTTATCCTCTGTTATTTATTGAAGTTTTTGCTTGATGGGTAAGGCTTCACCTAATCATTACTCTTAAGTTTAGAGATGAGGTAATAGATATGTTTGGGATTCTTTGGGCTTAGGATGTACTGAATAGACTGTTCAACCTCACTGTGGAAACACATGCAGGCAAAGTCACGTTTAATAGCTGCTCGTAAGTGACCAAACCCTTCTGTTCTCTGGGAACTGCCCAGCAAGTTTGAGTCAACCAATAAGATAATTTCCTCACTCCTACACTCTACAGTAAAGAAAGGGCACCTCAGTCCTTCTGGCTTCATTTTTGCATGGAGTGGAGACTTATTTCAAACAGCTGAAAGTGAAAACAGCTCCCTAGGGACTTTATTTCTAACTCAAATCATCAGTGTGTTTATTTAAGTGATTTGTAATAGGACAGCGGGTCCCGCAAGCCAATATAAATCATATAGGGATGACTAACACAATGGAAATACCACTCACAACATATTATCCATGCAGTGTTGTAATGTAATCTAAAGGTGTTATGATAGTGTTATTGTTAGCCTCGCCATATAACATTTAAAAATTGTTATTGTTAAAAATGTTATTAATAATCTCCTTTAAGTAACACAGAAGACAAGTTCATATATCATTAGACTGATAAACTTTCTCGCAAGTGCTGTGCAAAAAGATTATCCTACACAATTACAAATCTCCATAGCTTTCACTCAGGCACCACCATTTATCGTCCACCTAATGTAAATGTTATAGGGTCAAGTGTTTGAGCGAGAAAAAGCCACTAAGGTTATCTACTGAGGACCCTCCAGAGTATATATTTTGTTGGACAAGACTCCCAGGGCCATTAGAAAGCTCAGCAGAGATAGTTGACATACCAAGACAGAAATTACTGAGTCTTGACAGTTTCAAACCACTAGCTTCATTTCAGTATTTCAATGATTAATCTGAATGCTGAAATTTGAGTAACTCAGATGTTGCAGTGCACAAAAGTAAATTTACTGGTTAAACAACTGCCTGTAGAGTAAAGGGTTTTCTATCCTTATTTTGAAGTTTAATTGCAAAACATCCCCATAAACCAGTATTGAATTATTTTTTTTTTACTGTATTGTTGTTTTGCAATGCAGTGAATTACTGAACATTCTAATTTTTCAAGTAACACAAATATATGTACTTTTTTTCTTTTACAACCCACAGACCTTGACATTGTCAGAGTGTCAACACTGTGATATTCAGTATGTCCTGAGGTTTCCCTCACCACACAGTAGTTCCTGATCTTTAACCACTGAACAGCAAACACTTGGAACGACATTCCCACCAGTTCAGAAGCAATGTCTTTCAATATTTATAGTCAGCTAGGCTGGTATATTTTCCTGGCTTTGTAAAGATATGATTATGTTTTCAAATTAGACAAATTAGTAACTCTACACTACTTATTTATTTATTTTTGACATTCAGACTATATACCAATTTATTCTGTTAAATAATTTAAAAAAATAGAACATTTCTGAAGAAAGTTTGAATCTGTCAACATAACTACTGCTGTGGAAAGCCCAGACTATCTTCTTTCAGATGCCAGTAAAATTGACTTGGCTGCTTAGGTCTTATCTTACATCTTTCCCTCTGCCACAACAGTCATGACTTGCTTGGTCTTAAATATGTGATAAGAGTTCGATGGTGAAGCCTCTGATTGAAACGTAGTGATTTTAAAACAAACATACCACTATGGATGATCTCATCTACAGACTAAAGTGACTGCTTTCATATATTGTTGGTTAAAATCAGAGTTTTAGAAGTTTTTTTTTAACCCAAAATGTAAGGTGAGGATGCACCAGTAGTGCGTGAAAACACCAGTTGACAAAGACCTACAATCATTTGTTAGTTTTATATTTCTATTTTCTATTTTGCTTTTTCTACCCCAAATTTTGGAGAAGTATTTGCTTATATGAGCGGTAACAGATAACTAAATATCTTAGATTTCTGTTGTTGCACAGTTACTAAGAGCTTTATACTAATATCTCTTTGGGCGTAGTCATCTCTGTTTGAGAGCAGCATTAATCTGGACATCTATTTCCTATAGCTGACTGCTTTGCAAAGTGGAATATTCATTAAAGTGCTTTATATTTTGATGAAAATTGAAAACCTATGAGACGATTTTGTTATTAGCCTCCTTCACCTTTTGCACCTGCTACAACAAAGCATCATCACTGGTCCCTATCTTCCCAAGGTGATCTTAGCTAGAAGCATTGCACAAAGGCATAATAATAAAAGGTTTAGTATAATATAGATCAAGTCCACTTTAGTGTGGGTCACTGACCCAAACTGTATCGGCTCTTTCCAACCTTAATAGTCTGCTCCGCTGGGAGCATAATGTTTGGATTGGTTGGGAAATATATTGGCAATAAAGAGACAAAAGGATGTCATAAATGTTGATTAAAGCTCTGGTTAAAAGACAAAGGCGGAGAGGCTCTGAGTTATGAGGGCTTTTCAGACTGCGTTATTGTTTCAGTGACAGAGCTCTTAGTGTGTCTAGTGGAGTGGCGAGTGGTAAACATTTCTCAATGTGTGAGGAGTCATTAATCCCTGGAACCGAGGATGGCTTCACTACCAGTGTCTGTGGCCCAAGAAATCACAGCCAGTTGGCACCAGCAGGTCGTGCAGAGCTCCAACATAAATGCTTTGTACTTCAGAGCTGTTTAAATCTCTTCTATGTGCTGTAGCTAAGGCACGCTTTAGAAAAGGCAACAGGCAACACTCTGTGTTTTGCACATTCAGTTCATTTGCCAGTCAAGCTGTTGATGATGCATTGAGTCCTGCCAGGTTATAGTCTCACTGTGAAACATAAGCAAAAAATGAAGCCAGTTTGACGAAAACACGTTTCTAAGGCCCTGACAGTAACGTCAGGGAGTAATACAGTATGCAGATTGTCACTGAGGCTGAATCGTAATTCTGGCAAAAAGTAACTTTCCTGTTTCTGGAGTCATTAGACTTGGTCATGTATGTTTATTATAATTTATTTTGAAGAGATTCCCAGTTTCATAATTACTTTAGGTTCTTTAGGTTTGTAGGTAGAGTTTTCCCAAATTCTACTTGAATTTTTGAATTAGCAAATCCGAGGACCACAAGTCTGAGAAAATTTGTATTCTTGCATGAAAAACACTTTACTCATCATGTCACACAAGCGCACACAAGGTACATTGTAAAGGTCAGTTTCTGCTTGGTTCCTTTTAAAGGGGGGCTTTTGTTGTGTTTCCTTGTTTTCTCGCATGTACATAAATATATAATACTGCCATAATCAAAGCTCCTGTGAGAGGAAACAGCCCTAATATAGTCATCCCAGTCATCTAGCCTAATGTTCAAGCCTTCTGTTCGCAAGGGGGAGTCTATCAATAGAAAGCTGGCGTAAAGGAAGTGTAGCTTTTAAAAGAGGAGTTAAAACGTCTTGGTTCAGCAGTGGATTTGCTGTGAGGCTGTGGCTAATGTTCAAAGCTACTGAGTCCAAGAATAAAGCTATGGAGCTGGAAATCAGCAAATAGTAGAATTATTTTTATTTACTTGTAGGGAGCTTCCTATTATAAAGTTTCAATTTTGTTGGTTAAAGTTTGCAGGGTCTTGATTATACTTCACGCGTGGGACTGTTTAGCAGGTTTTCCCGTTTATCGCTCTCGCAGTTGACAGATAGAAGCTGCAGCACCGCACGTTTATTTGCACTCATTGCTCTGTACTGGCGCTCCAGCTTTGGACCACACCCACCAAGGGCCAGCGGTGTTCATACATGCCCCTGGGCGTGCATTTGCAAACTCCGCCCCCGCTGGCTCCACCCACCAGCGGACCACAATGATTTAGAAGTTCAGGAATCCCACGTGACGTCACCCAGGGTGACGTTATGCTCTCTAAATAGATCGTATTGTAATCTTTTCTCAGTCCAACGTGGTTTCTTCTGAGAGACTGCTTCACATTTTCTGCACTTGTTTGGTAAGTTGAAAGCCTTGCCACCATGCAGAGGACCGTGCACGCGCCTCTGCAGGTTTGTCATCTTTTTATTTTTATTCTTTTAAAAAGCGATTCTTCTCACTTGTCCTTCTCCCTTTTTCATGCAACAGCTTGTTTTCTCGTTCGCTTCAGCAGTCTTTCTAAAGATGTGATTTTGTTTTATTTCTTTCACCTCCTGGTGTCTGCAGCTTTGTGTCGTGCGAGTTTTGTTTGAGTGAGTGCATTGTCATGTCACTTCGCGCTCCGTGTGTTTGGCCTGTCTCTTACACTGTTGTTGAAGTTGAATCGCGGAGTCAAGTGCCGCTGCAGCTCGGTCTGTCAAGTAGCAGCTAAGGCAAGTCTGCAGAAAATTATCTGAAAGGACAAAAACACGAACATTTTTATTGCAACGGGCGCTTTTCGTTGCACTTCACACCAATTTGGCACGTCTTCTAAGTTTTCATTTAGCTCTAAATCTCCGAAGCTGGACCCCTGCATCATTGTCATGCCTGTCCCATCCAGGGATACGCAGAGCAGGCTAATCTTCGGGACTCGTGCGTGCTGCGGTTCACCAATGACTGTCTGGAATATAATGGGCCGGTGGTTACGCTGTTACCCCAGGGTATCCTTGTTTACGTTAAATTTATGTTCCTCTTTTTCTCTTGAACAGCAATGTTCATCAAGATTACGTCATTCTGCAGGCCAGTCGATATTTGATTAAGCGCTAAGATGTTGAGGGTTACTTTGAGTAAGGTTGTGCTGACGGTGCGCACTTTGTGACGGAACGGCTTTTTTAAAAAAAGAGAAAGATGCTTTAATTATTTGATTGCTCTCCGGCCGCTATCATTATGTTTATGTGACAGCACTATCAATAACACATGTTTCTCGTACACGATTCCACTTATTGTGCCCGAGTTTTTATTCGGTGTCGTAATAACGCCTGTTAAAGTGTTATTTATGCCTGTTGCGACTTTTTTCAGCATTTAATGTAGACTGGGATGGAGTTTCTTTGTATGAAAGCTTTTGCAATAATTTGTCTCCTTAAAAATATGTAGCCTATCAGATTGAGTAAAGTTAACTTGCTGGACAAATTTTTTTTATTTTTAAAGCAAAAATACATAATCCAAAAATAGTTCATAATAATTATTAGGATTTACATAAACTTAGACCAAGTATCATAAGCTATAGTTAATGCATTTAAATTCACTTGTTTATTCTATAATAGTGTTATTTACTAACCTTCATGGCTATATGTTTTTTACATGTTAAGCTGGATTGCAGCAGTAAACTGTTAGCTGCATTTCTTGTGCTTGAGGTACCCCTGGTAATGTCTCTACTAATATAGAAGGTGTGAAAAGGTAGCAAACATAAAGGCAGTCTCAAGTCTGAGCAACAAGTACACCACAGAAGTTAGAGCATTTTATTTTAATACTAGAGCTTTCTTTTCGCCTTTACCTGCAAAGTTCTGCAAAGTGAACGCTAAGAATAATACAGTTAGAATAATGTGAGCAGTGCTAATCCCATGCTAGACCTCTGAGGGTAAATTTTTTGATTTATGAGTTTATGTTGAGTCAGAGACCAGTAATTGAAAGCTTTTGAAGTTTATATTTCAGTTAGACCAGTCTTCTAGTCATGCATTGAGTTTAAGAGCAGAAGTTCAGTGCAGACATTGTCAGAGAGGTCCCGTGTACGTTGTCTCAGGGATCGCCGTAATCCTTCTTTCAATTTGTACTCTCAAAAGCCCAGGTTATGGCACTGGAGCTGGAGAGTTGAATTGCTGTGCATGTTTGTGCTTGCTTTAACCCCATATGCCTTTGCACCCCAACCCTTCTTTTCCTCACCATATTGTTTAAATTCTAATATGCGTTCTACCTGGAGAGTTCTTCCCAAGTTCCTCTTGAAATCGAATGCCGGACCCTAATCCTTCCCCTCACTCACATCAGGATGCAGTTAATGTAAAGTGTAACCAAATTTCCTCTGCTAAATGAAAACATCTATATTAAATGAGAGCCAAGTGCCCTGTCCAAGGAAAGGGCGTTGAATGCTGATAATTTGAAGTGTGAAAGCTATTGGATAATTCGCAGAGGCATTCGCAGAATTAATGGCTGGAAGTTTTATGTATCATATGGTTTGAATTTCCTAGTAAATGTGAGGGAATGATCAAGTCCCGTTTTAGAAACAGGAACAGGAAGGTAAACGTTTCTGTTTTTTACAGTTATGGAAACAATTTTTCTCTTATTTTTTTAATGCCTTGCTTTAAAGTTTTTATGTTTCAAGAACTGTTCCAAATTCATACTGGCAATCAAGAAGGGAGCTAGTAAACAACAGTTCCAACAAGAGTTGAAACACAACAGCTGATTCATGCTGTTTCATGAACATTTGGGGCCTTTATTTAATACACGAGTGAGTAGCGCCATATCTACAGACACTGTTTTTGTCATCTAGCGCTTAGTTTTATTTAATGATCAGCAGTGTTGGTTGTGTTTGTTGTGTCAAAATAGACCAGGTGAGTTTTTAGGGGCCCTGTTTTAGAGAACTGAACTGGTGATAGAAAGAGAGACCAGGTCTCATTGCTCTCTGACAGTGAGACCCTTTCCAGACCCTGTTCAAGCGGGCTTGGTCATGAAGTACAACTTGTTAGGAAAACAGGACTGCTTAGCAAAACACAATATTTGACTGTTTTGACTGCGCTTAAGGAAATAGCCTGTACCTATGAAAAAGACACACATGCACATAGTGTATGAAAGTATTCATGCCTGACACTTGACATGCCGCACTGACTTATTACAGACTTATTACAGAATTACAGATGTGGTGCGGTTCTTGTGAACTGGTAGGAGGGAGAGGTGATAATAATGCAAGCGATAAAAGGAAATGTTTAATGTGCCATTAAATAAAAATGATGTGGTCCAGTATCAGTGTTGTAAATACTGCAGATGTTTTAGTTGTACTGAGAGGACACATGATAAACCACAGACCTATTTGATGATCATCAAACTCTTAGTGTCTTATTAAACCCCCTTCTCTGATTACATTTAAGTTGTGCAATAAAAAGCAGATAAAACTAAGCAGAAAAAGTTTTGTGTCTCATTTTATGTCATAATGCCAAATTTTCTTTATTTAACTGCAATTCTAAGTTATTGTAACATAGAAGAAATAGGTTATGGCGAAATAGGTTTCTGTGAAACTATCATGCAGCCAAGACTCATAAGGCTCATAAGGCCAAGAATCATTAAATAATTAAATACAAAATCCATTTCTTATATGGCTAGACACCCCAAGCGCTTTGTGGGCTTTGCATTGAAACCACACATCAGCCAAGTGTGGTTTCCATGTGTGGGGTGTGAAATAGGGATGCAAGAATGGTTAAGAAATTTTATGTTAAAATAACAACTTGGAAAGTACCAATGCAGCATATATGGGTTTTTTTTATTGGTATGTAATAATTTGTGCCGGGAGACAATGAAAACTACATTAAAATCTTTCAGTTCTCCACAACTTGGTAAATGGCAGCCAGCAAGGCTGATATAAGCCAGTACTGATGTTCCTTATATATAATGGTGCATCCCTGTTTTGCATGTTTTGCATGTTCATGTCCACCTTCACCCTAAAAGACAAATAATCGTACTTACTTAACATCTGGTACGACATCCGTCTAAAAGTGCTTGGCATTTGTGTTATTGAAATGTGATGACTGCTCAGAGGCTCTTTGTTAGTGTTTATTAGAAGAATAGTTTATACTTTTGCACTGTAACAATAATAAGATCTCGAAATACTAAATAAGCTGCGAACCAAGTATGATGTCGCAAAAAAAAGTACAAGGATTGCACAAATAATATTTTTTGCTCAGTAGTTTGCAGACTGTGACGAAAACCGTTTTTCTCTTTTACACAAGTGAGATAAATTTCTGTGTTTAATGTTGTCTAAACACAAAGATCTTAACAAAAATTGTTTCAGTAAAAATGCAAATGCAAGCAAAAATTTAGCTCAGAATCTGACCAAACTTCAAGTATACTGTGTGTGTTGCCTTGGTAAGCTTACAAGTGGTTGGCATCCTGAATATCACTTTTAAAAAAAGTCAAACGTCAAAATAAAATGTAGTAATAATAATAAAAAGATATATTCCTTCCTATTCCTGCCTAAAATAATTTTAAAAAATTATTGGCAGGAACAATAAAGTAAGATGCTGTAAACCTGTGCAATATAAATGTTTGAATGTGTGCGCTCCATCATGTGGATATCATATTTTACATAGGTGTTGTTTAATGTGTTTGATGTTGATCGATATATTTTAAAATCCAACTGTTGTTTCTGTAATTTATTTGAAATGTATGAAAAAATACAGTTGAAAATTTTGACTTCTTTAACTGGTTTTGCCTGATTGGGTTTTTCAAAGTTAAAAGAGGAAAAGGATAGAATTTGAAATAATTTGTAGAGGTTTATTTTTAGTGTTTTTATCTTTTACCATCGCTTGTCCCATTTTGCTTTGAATTCTTAAAGTTAAAATGATATGGGTGCACTGAGAAGTTCCTAAAGTGCACGTTAAAAAACCTGAGGCCCGCTTACTTTTAAGCTTTAAAACTAACACCAACTAAAGTTCCTTTTCTTCTTTCTATCAAATAAGCTGCACTTTCTGACTGTGCACGGCTGCACAGCCGCTGCTTCCTTTTCTTGTTCTCACTAAAAGATGCATAACCAGCGAATCAATTCATTAAGAAACCGATGACTGTATGGCTGAAACTTAAATGTGGAGCTATTTTTTCCAGATGTAAGTGCCTTTTATTTAAAGTCAATTTTGTCTTACTACATAGCTGCCTTAATAAAAAATATATAAGTACTGAGAAACAGTGTCTATATAGATACATTTGTTCATTTTGTTTATTACCAGCTTTAAAGTGTGTTACAATCTATGTGGTAATGTGCAATAAAAACGTGGATATAAAGAAAATCCATCTATTGAAATATTTAAAAGTTTTCCCAGTGGTTGAGTTTTGCTGAAGTTATTGGACCCAGTGTTTCCACAACCTCAGCCTTGATGTCATTTTAGTGGAGCCCAGATTACTGTAGCGTGAGAAAACTAGTGCAGGTGCAGTAACAGTTTCATGTCTAGCATGACACGAGCGTATTTTCCCTCGTCTAAGGAAAGCAAAATTATTCAGCTCTCCTCACTGCTTTCTTCTTTTGTCTTTTTCTGTAGTTTTATGAGAAGTTGGCCAGAGTGATGAACTCGGACCAGGAAAGGCCGTTCGTGTGCAACGCTCCTGGCTGTTCTCAGGTGAGACTGTCGTGATAAAACTCAATGCGTACATGTGCATGTGTATATGTATGTCTGCCTGTGATATCAATACACCAAAGAGGGATTCGGAGTAGATTTATCTCTCGCGCATGAGGGAGAAGCGCAATACCATGGAAGTGCTTGAAACACAAACTGTGATCGGGTCTAGTGTTAAAATACCTAAAGAAAAAAAAGTTTCTTTTAGGATGTAGTCAAGAATGACTACAATAACAGTGAATGTTATTTTAGGGTAGTGCTTCATTTCCTATCAGTTACTCATACTTGTCTCTTTACATATGTACAATTCCTTTTTTTTTTCAACAGCGATTCCCCACAGAGGACCATCTAATGATACATCGACACAAACATGAGATGACCCTTAAGTTCCCCTCCATAAAGAACGACAACATGTTATCAGGTGAGTTATGCTCCTTCAATACAGACTATCTCACTATTTGAGCAGGGTTTGAAAGAAACTTGGAGTTTGTTTGCAGCTGTGTCTTTGTGACTCATGCACAGACACACTCGTCTATCATCAGTATGCTTTACAGTGCCTCCAGAAGCTGTTTGCAATAATGTAAATCATATGAGGCATGCTACCCTACAGCTTAGTTTCATTCACACTGAACACTTCAGTAACATATAAAGAAGCTGCCTGACAAAAACTGGACAAATGAGCATTTTATGTGTGAGCTTGTCTTTCCTGTTACTTCATGTGATTTGCGCTTTTCTGTCACTCGGTGTGTCATCATTCTATATATCACGTCGAAAGAAAGGAAGTTTTACAGGGTGCAAAAGCCCAGTTGAGCCGCTGATCTGGACATTAATCTAGAGTTTCAAAAGTCCAGTAAGAGTCAAACCAATAGTAGCGGCCAATCCAATAGTGTAGATCTCTACTCCTTATAACATTCCTAATGCATCAGCCATCGTCTAGTAAAAATTGCTACAGCCAGACTATTCAAGTAGTTTCTTCTTTATTGTTTACACTCGGTAGTCAGTAGGATCAGATTTTCTAAGCCAGGCGTCTTTATCACTTTTCGCCTGAGTTACAACTATGACTACTTTTTTACTGATACACTGAACTCAGGATAAAATAATCAGTGGTTATGCAGCACACAAAGTCACACCTCAGACACACAATGTCACATGCAAAATTGTCTACGCTTAACTTTTAGTACTATAATTGATGACCTAAAGTTGACCTGCTCTATTTGCTTTGCATTGACTCGACTAAAAACTGACATTACTCGGTTTCTTAATAGAGCTTGAGTAATATCGTCAGTCTCTGCAGATCGAAACGGCGCTGTATATTTGCAGAGTAAAACTGTGTTTTGAGTACACACGTCATGACGAAAGTTTGAGTCAATCCTCAGTCTAGCCAGAATGGATAAACACGCCATGGAGTATGCTTTTAGCCTTTGAAACAACTGTGATCCCAAAATCACCTTCAACAGTCTGAAACCCGATCTGCATGCACCCCCCACAATGTCAAGCTGAATACCACAGCTTGACTGAGCTCGACAAATGAGACCCCACTCTGTAGGTGGGATCTGTACTTTGTCAGCAAAAAACTGGGCTGTCAAAAGTAGTGTCTCTCATCGGCTAAATACAAGTAATGCTTACTTAAAAACACAATGTGCAACAACAGTGTACGTTCATTATTCTTTTTGGATTGGTCTCCATTAGCTTGCTTAAAGTGCATGCTGGTAAAAACTTTGGCTCACATAATTGGACATCATTTTTTTAGAGGAAGGAACAATGAGGCAGAAAATACAAAAAATACAAGACATAAAAATCGGAGAGTACAAGAAGAGTCACAGAATCAAATTAAAAGTTAGCAGTAAAACTATCCAAATTATCAGAATAAAACATGCTGCGCTGTCAAAACAGATTTAAATGCTTTCTCGTGTCTCATTTAACTTCTTGCAGACATGGTTCCTGTTTTAAATACCGTTGTGCGCATATTTGCATTTTGGTTCATTTTGCCTGCGTAAGTTTTTACATTGTATATATGTTTCAGGTATGCAAATGAGAATTAGGCATACATCTTTTACAAAAGCATCACACAATATCACAAAATGGAAAAGGAAAAAGACAAATATGAAATCAACTTTTTCACGAAAACACTACGCTTGCGGATATATTTTGCCATTTGGAACCCCTTAAAACTCTTTTCCCTCTAACTTTTAAAGGTCCACATTCTACTTTTAAACCTGAAAAACATTTTTTCTTCGTTTACAGACCAGACACCCACGCCAACACGTTTTTTAAAGAACTGTGAGGAGGTGGGCTTGTTCAGTGACCTGGACTGCTCAATTGAGCAGGAATTTTGCAAAGCCCAGGAAGAAGAGGACAGTAAACAGGTACTGGAACAAAAAAGGAAAAAAAAACTCAGACTAAAAAAAACAAAACAAAAAACAGATGAGACCAAAGCCACAGAGGTTAGGTGGTTAAGAGCTCTTATCTGGAGTGATCACATGAGTAATGTCGCTAACAGCGGCTCACACTGCATGAGCTGATAACACATTTTTTTTATAGACTGGAAACACATAGACCTCATGCAACCACATTCTGCCCATTTGTTCAAAAATGGATAGCCACAAGTGTTTATTCACCGCTAATATTTCTGCTATATTTCTCTCTTTTATCCAAACTATATGTTCCCTGTCTAGTTCTCGTGATGCCACTAGTGCCACGCTACTTTAACCTCATCTGACTTGTCAACAGTGACAGACAGGGCTAGCAGGTGGAGATTTGTCACCCATCACAGATGAGGACAAAAGATATCAGGTTCTCCACCTGCAGCTTCAAACAGATCTTCATCGCTTAGAGAAGGAGTCCTATTTCTCCCAGACAGACAGACCCCTGAGACATCTTTTTCAGCAGTAATCAGGAAAAAATACTGACCAGACAGTCTTGTATGTGAGCAGAGTCACAAACACTGACGTTTGACAAAGAACATGATCATTTATGCATTATACATCTGCCCTGAAGCACCTTGACCTGAAACATGGGTAATAGTCAAATCACCACAAGACAGACTGCTTATCTAAGGTCTGGGAGTGTGTGCAGTCCCTGCTGCAGCTAAGCTGTTGTCTCTGTGGTTTGGCTCTGGAGATCGTGCGTGCTCAGGTCAGCCATGTCTAGGCTGCCCAGCCTGTGTGGTTTATGATGGGAGGCTTTGCCAAGTCAGCAGGAGGCGAGTCAGAGCAAGACTTGCAGGGAGTGTAAAGCACAACAAGATAAGAGTTAAAAATTTGAAACTTTAAGAAAACACCAAGAAGACAGTATGAAATAGTCTTATTTCCATATCCTGCAATATACTATCATAATGGTGAAGATTAAGTAATTGTACTGCAATGCAAAATACTTTATGGCAATGTAAGTGTGTGAGAGATACGTGAGTGTGAGTATTCTATCACTTGCAGCTATTTTAGTATGAATATTCATAATGTGACAGTTAAAAACTGTTGGTAAAATAAAAATAAAGGAAATATGGTCATCAATAAACTCTCAGCTCAGCACAGAAAAGCTTGTAGATGATACCTTACTTAGTTCCTCATTACCCATTCCCACCCACTGAATGTGTGAAGTCCAAGGCCAAATGGTTGAAATGCTTGAAAATGCTCTTTATAGAGTCCTAAACCTCTATACTGTGCTCACTCGCCTCCTCTCTTCTCTTTACAGAACATTTCACTGCATGGCCAAGCAGGCCAAGGCCAGCACCAGCAGTCCCACTCACGAATGGGCAATCATGATACCAGCATAGTGATCCAGCAGGCCCTGCCCTCTCCTCAGTCCAGCTCTGTCATAACTCAGGCTCCATCAACAAATAGACAGATAGGGTAAGCAGACCGCAGTGGCCGAAAGATGTCGTGAAACATCAGCAGCGTAAATACAAGTAACAGGTACAAACAGGTTTTATGAAACTTGCTACTGAGAGAGGCATTTTCTCTTTTCTGTATGACATGAAACAGCAGTTGTTGAGCACTGCTGAGAATTGATGACAGACTGAAAACCGCCTGACAAGCGCAGTGATCTTTGGGGATTCTCTCACCTCAAGTGTGCCCCTGTTATACTGACAGCCTCAGTCTCATCCTGGTCCCTCTGTTTCTGTGCCGGCTGTCATCCCCCCCATTGTCTCTGAGGCAATGTCAGTGTTTCATTACATTTGGAGCAGTGTGTGTGGGACTTGCCATTCGTGTTTTGCTGTTCATTCACTGTTGTCCCATAGCAGAGCATGCCAAAGAGGGTCCCAGAGGATAAGATGAAGTCATTGTTGAAGCCTAAGCCGTGACCGCTTTTACACAGGTTTAGCATTTCATGTTCTAAAATAGTTCTTTTCACAGTATGGGAATGGCAGCTGCCTTAGAGCTCTGCTTCTCTGGAACCTTTGCAGATAGAGAAACCATATTAATTACAATGTGTGTGGGTTGCTTCTTTGTGCTTATTACTTGTATATGCACACTGTACGTAATGATTGGGGTATTGCATTGGGTATTGATTGCATAAATTTTGCCAACTCTTGCAGGGCTGTCATCTCTTTGAGTGAAACGTCTTTCCCTCTGCTGCAGCTCTGTCTTAATACGTCAGTGACATAACGGTTATAGGAAACGCACACAAACATTTATGCACCTTTTTTCCCATATGAGGACTCTCCACTGACCTCATTCATTCCTTGTGCTTTAACTTCAGCCACCTTCAAATCTGTGCCAGGGCTTTGTTACTGTAAACCAGGCCTGTGGCAAACTTGTTAGACATTGAGATGGCTCAGAGTTAGGCCAGCCCTGTGTTGAGGCTGTCTTGTGTAGATTTACAGCTTCGGGAGCTAGTGAATATTGGATGGGAGGCCCATCACTAAGTCTGACTGACACCCCATCAGGCTCTTTGTTGAGGACAGGGATGGAATTTCAACCCCTTGGAGGAGCAGCAATCACTGCCAGTAACAGAGACGTTGTCAGGCCTGCTTCACCTGACTTTACCTGTCATTGTAAACTCTTTACCTGACTCACCACTTCACTTCGCAGCCCTTTCTGACCACAGAGCCCTTACCGGTTTGTTGAGAGAGCTGTGTTATTGTTTATTGTCGTAAAATCGCATCACTCAAAATTCAGAGACGGTATGCCATGTGGTGGTGGTTGCCAGCCACAGAACTGCACCAAGTTGCCAGCTGCAGTGATCTGTCACACATGATCTGAGGCAACCTCTGAGCAGCAATTGTATGGTCTAAAGTTGCAGATGCGTCACTTGTTTACGAGGATGGCGGAATCCTGAAACGCGAATAGGATGGGAATATTCACACAAGAGAAAACTGATCTGGAAATGTTCACATCAGCAGGAAAATGGGCTGAGGAAACCCCTCCACTGAAAAGCAGAACTTCCACAGGAAGCCATTAGGGCTCACCAAAGCCTCTGTGCACAGGGTCTCTCCACAGGAACTTCCTACATAGAGACCATGCTGGACACTTCACAGACTGGTGTACTCAGTCCAACACAGTCCAGATATTAGCCTGTTAATTCATGAGAATTGTAGGCTTCAATATGTTTTGATTTACTGTGCTTTTGTGAACAAGGTCATCATGTAAAACTAGAAGCACAGTTAGGTTCCCGCTATGTAAATCTTTGTGTTTAATTTGAACCATAATAACCTAAGAGACTATTAAAAAATGGTTATCCTTGTCACGACTGGTAAAGGTTGTGTATCTGATCATTGCAGGTCTATAAATCTTTTAGTATCAATACACTTTATGGGGCTCTGTGGTAAATATGTCTCTAAATGAGACAAAATCACCAAACAAAATCAGTTTAATCTCACTTCCATCTGCTTCTTCATTTTGTTCCTCTGCTCTGCTGAGTGCACAGCATGAGCATCCAATGAATTAGGATAACAAGTCATTTTCATTGCTCCACAATGTTTACTAAAGAGCTTTGAGGCTTGGAATCAATTAGGATTGGCTTTCCTCAAGTCCATTTACTTTAGGATTGAGCTGGGCCTGCAGCTGTGAAACCTGAGGACCTCTCTCGCTCTCGCTTTTTCTCTCCTTCCCTCAGCTCTGAGTCCTTAAAGGAGGTCTTGGGGGAGCTGCACTGACACAAACCAGTGTTAAAACCAGGCATAAGAAACAGCCAGCAGATCTTAATGTCACGGCTATCATTATCATACAAAGTGAAGCGGTGTCCAACTGTTCTGAATGCTCTCTGCTTTTCAGTTACAAACATCTGGTGCTGAGTTATGTCAGAGTTAAATGTGTTGGACATTACTAGTCAACCATGTGAGATACAACATTCTGTGAAAACCTCAGCCTTTTCACTTGTAAGTGGAGCTCGCTGGGTGGATGGGTGTGGGCACAAGGCATTAAAAAATGACATTCTTCTATTTTGGCTGCACAAAGGAATTCAGCCTGATTGTTTCCATTACATAGCACAATCAACCTGAATGCATCTGGGCTACGTGAATACAGTACAGATGTGGCAGATTTCATCATCAGTTGCCGATAATTTGATAGTTAAGTACTGCTTTCAACTATTATTTTTTTTTGTTAAATGTACAGTACAGATGTCTAAACCTACTAAAGTGTTAAAGACAATATTTGAACTTATGAGATGCAGCCCTCAAAACCACTAACTGCTGATGTCAGGTAGTGTTGGTTTTTCACCATTTAACCAAAAGGTTTTTCAATTTACCTTCAATAATGAAAATAGAACTTTGTCTCATTTTGTTTTTGTACAAATGTGACAATAACCACATTAACTTTAAAGCAGCTCTTTCTATGCGGAGAGTCTATTCGCTTTTCTAGATTGTGGATTTATCTTTAAACCTATACATCTATCATTTGCGGTGTCCCACCCTGGGTGTACTGTGTGCAACTTGTAAGTTTGGCTGTCACATTGTGCACAGGTTTGAAGGAAGTCAATTTGTGGTTGTGTTTCCCATGCTGCTTTAAATGCACAATATTTTTCACACCTTCAGCACCCTTCTACTTGTGGTCCTTGTCTTTGCCTTTAAGGGAAGTAGCAGAAATAGATGTTGGTCTTCATGCCTTCTTAACAGCAAGGTTTCATGCAAAGTGTAGAGTGATATTAACTTCCTGTGTTTTTGCAAAGAGATTTGCTAGTGTGCTGATTGATCATGAAGAACCACTGGGTAGAAGATTTGCTTTTAATAGATTGAATTGTAGCAGTTCAATTTATTAAAATGTATAAGTGTCTGTGACAAAGTACATTTGCATTTCTATTTGATTGCAAAAGCTTGCGATCATCCTGTTAATCCACGATCATTGTCAGATATTATAGCTAGTGAGCACTTATTGAGAACAGATGTTCACGTCTAAACACAATGTGTACATGCTCTTTTACATACAGTGTAATCTGATACTCACTACTTCATCAATTGTTTAAAATAGCACCGCTGACCTACTATACTGAATTAATATTGATACAGTGGTGCCGATAGGTGGTTCATGATACACACTGCATATCGTATAGATTGCATAATAACTCTTTCCATGCCTGTAATAACCCAGTGGTGCTGCCTTCTAAGTGCACTGCACTGGTGCATGAGCATAGAGAGAAAGGATGTTATGGGCTGTTTATGGATAAAGTTTGACCTCATGAACTTTACAATTTAAACAAGATGTCTTTTATTATTGTTTATGATTAGATTGCATTCACAAAGTTGTGATAAGGAGGGAGGTCCGTCCTGAGTATACGAGTGTGTGACCTCTACAGAAAGCTTAAGTTGCCCCCGTGCTCGAACTTGTTAGTTCTCCGCAAAAAAAAGTGGCTATTGGCTCCGAATAAATTGTAGAGCTAATCCAAATAGAAAGGAAGGAGGTAGACAGAAGAGAAAACTGGTAAGCACGGTACAGACGAATAAAGCTCAAACTATGTAATCAATTAAAAAAATAGTGAAAAGACAAAAAGAAAGAGAGAGAAAGCAGGATGTACATCTGACCTGAATTAAGATGAGCTCATTGTGTACTGCACTGGGTTTAATAGTGCGTTTTTAGAGGAACGCCCAGACTCTGTTCCCTCTCATTCCAGCGGGTCTGTGTCATCCCTGCCCTGGGGCCACCACACATGCAGGCTCCTGCACAAGCAACTCACACACAGGGATGTGCCTCAGAGCTCTGGGGAGCACAGGGATCACAATGTAGGGAAGTGTGGAAAAGAGGGATCAGAGGTGGACAGAGTAGGGGAAGAATGGGATCAGAGGTGGATGGAGGAGTGGAAGAAGGTATTAGGAGGTATAGATGGCGGAGAGGAAATGACAGATCCTGGGGGTAAAGGAGAGAGAGTGAAGAGTGGCATCAGATGGTGAGGACATGGATTTTGCTGGATGGTGTGTACAGAATTAGAGGAAAAGATAGAAGCATGAAGAACATGGCATCAGAACAATGTGGGTGTGGGAAAAATGTATGGAGAATCTGAAAGAGAAGGGAAGATGGAAAGCTGAATGGGAGATGAGACTGACAGAAGACAGGAATCAGGTGGCAGGGTGACAGGAGCCTAGGTTGGCTTTACAGCAGAGACATAAACATGTTAATAAATAGTGAAGTTTTAGTAGATGAAAAGGGAAAAAGATGAAGTATCTCTGAAAGTGAAAGGGTCTGTTTATGCCAAATGTTACAGCACCAGTCAGGTGCTGCTGACAGATCCCAGGGTAGCTTGTAACAAGATGACTCATTAGCTGCTGAAGAGTTTTTCCGATTCACCGCCGATATGAATGCACTGACATGCTTTCGTTAAAATGAAAGCCAACTCATCTTTGCTTTCCTCAGCCAAGAGCATCTGATGATTCAAAACAGTATCATATTTGGTGAATAAATACCGCAACACTTACACTAATTTGCTCCAGAGTGTCACTCCCCACCATTCCTAAACTGTGCTTTGGCATGCCTTAACTCAGCTTGAGGCACCCTAATGTGAGGACACCCCAGCCCAGATCCATTCCAGTGAAGCACCCTCCCAGCATCCATCCCTTCTCTAGAGCGCTAATAAAAGTCAGCCTGTGTCGTAACCCATTATAGCTGATTTATTTGATCAGATTCGTATTATTTCCTCAGTCCAAACCCCATGGCACTCTCCTCCCACCAGTGATTAAAGGCAGTAAATCAGGGGCAGGTCCTGTGTAGTGTTTACTCAGAGAGCCAGGCAGCTGCAAGCTGTTTGAGGCCCTTGTTTCTCCCGGTATTTACCTCCGTTCCCATGGTGACTGCACCACCATCTCCCAAACGTCTGGAACTTGGCCCTAGGCTGTTTTGGTTACGTTCAAAAGTTTTTAGCTGCTGTGTCTACCCAGAGCTTGCAGTGACTTCACCCAGCGAGGAGTGAGTACAGTGATGCTGGACTGAGTTGAGGAGGGAAAGAGAGGGAAAAGTGAGAGGAGGATGGGAGGGAGGGACAAAATCTGGGGGTAGGCAGGCACAGGGTGGGGGGAGGGCGAAAAACCAAGAGCATTACATCATTGCTGGAGCCGAGTCAGAAAGGGAAGGATATGAGTCAGTGGACTCTCTCTCTCTCTCTCTCTGTTGGATGGCAGCCAACCCCCTTGTGTATAAGTCCCCAGTACTTGAGTTGGAGTTGGGACTGTTGGGATTGGGACAGTAAAGCAGTGTGTCTACAAAATTTGTAGATTACACACAGTAGATCAGGGGGACGTGGGTTTAGGCGTGGACACCATGAGGGGTCCGTGGTGGAAAGAAATATCATAATGATGTGGACAATTAGAAATAAGAGAGCACAAGAAAAAGTAAAAAAGGCATAAAGAGGGATGAAAGTCTACTAATGATGTCATGGTGGAGTGAAGATGGGTGGGTTTGGGCGGCGGCGGTTCTTGGGCGGGGATTGTGGAGGAGAGCTGGGCTGAGAGCGAAGCACTCAGTAATGTGAGAGCGCAGGGTCAGAACTGCAGAGTGTCTACCTGCTCTCCCCTGGGGCCCACAGCCCAGGCTATTATCAGTCCCCTCAGTGGAGCCGAGCCTGTCATTATTCACTCACACACACACACACACACACACACACACACACACACACACACACACACACACACACATGCATATGTTCACACGCAGCTTAATGAAAAAGTCACACACTCACATATGCACTTATTCACATATAAACACTTTGAGCAGGAGGATGTAAATACACAAAGCAGGAGGGAGCATGAAATATAGAAAGTTTCTTGTTTAACTCTTTATACTGTATTTGATTAGTGCCTTACTGACGGTGTACGATGGTGCTATATTAAAATGCATTATTTTGTAGAGTATAGTATTTATCAGAGTGAAAAAAAGAATAAATGGTTTAGTCTGTAAAACGCACAGGAAAAGGAAAGAGTGACACAATACTACATTTAAGAGTTCATCAGAAGCAGGAAATCTTTCATTTTAAGTTGCTGGAAAAAGCTAGAAAAACAAGTTCAGCCCTTTTTCAGAACTGTTGCTGAGGCGCTTTACAGTGTGGTTCTGACACTGTAATGCATAAGAAAAGTTGCCATTGTGTTCACTTCAACAAGTAAGTTATATTTGTTTCTTCTAGATTTTTGGATTCACCGTTAGTGACTTTTTGCCGGCTGTCTGAAATGTCTTTATTTATCAGCAGAGTCAGCACAAAGCTCGGGTTAATCCCTTGAGGAAGTGCTGTCAGATGTTAGTGTTGTTTTTTTCTTCCCAGTGGACAAGCAGGTTGTGTTTTGGTGAATGTGGTCGTGATGGACAGAGTGTTCGTCTAACAGACAGGTGCAGAAGTTACAGTCTTCAAAAGGAGCCTTTATTCTCTGTGTCACAGAGCCTGTGTGTCTGCGTGTTTTTTTTAATGTTGTTGTTTATTATGTGGCTGCCAGGATTAAGGATGAAGTATGACTGAAATAGGGCTAATTAATAAAAAAATAAACGTATAAAGCTTATCCTTCTTACAAAATACTGTTTGTTTAAATTAGTAGAATAGCACACATGTTACATGTGGGAAACGAAAGCAAATACTGTGACAGTTTTAGAACAAAAATACTTTAAATGAGCCAGTTTTGTTTAGCTAATTGACACATCATAATGAGATACAGACGTGCTTCAAGTTAACATTCGTTTTTACTTCAGTGTGTTGCAAAAATCTGTTGAGAAAACTTCAGTCTGCGTCTGAATGAAAAATCGAGTCATCACGTAGTTATGAAAAAATGATGTAGTCTTCATCTACATAATCAACAGCATGTACCAGCATGCGACTGTTCATCCTTCTGAATGCTGGCAAAGTCTAAACACTGAGGGAAACTGTTGATGCAGCTACACTGCATACCTCATTGTACTTTCATGAGTTTTCCCATGTGGAAATGTTTGAATTCGCTGTGTTGCTCAGATGTCATACGCGCTGTTAAATGAGTGTGATTGTGATAAATTGGGATGTTATACTGGCATGACACATCGTCAGGATGGTAATAGTCCTGTGTGTGTGTGCAGCAATCTAAAATGTCTGGAGCATAAATGCACATATTTAGGTCTGGAAAAATACAGGTATTTATTCAGGTGGTGGAACGTTTGCCCTGTTACCCCCCCTCCATTAGGCCATCACTCCTTCACCACTCACTATTACCGTAATCCAGGCTGTGATGTGGTGAATTGATTATGTTAACCCGTTGAACACAGCTAACCTAAATGCTTCTTGTTTGCTTGGAGGAAATGGAGCTTAAATAGCTGGTGAGTGGCAGCGCTGATTGTGGCGATACAGATAACTGGAGATTTATTGATTCTTCTGATGCAAGTTGTTGAAGAATCGTGCGGTGAATGCTGCTTTTAGATGTGAGGACTGAATAACTGCTGCATTCATGCGGGTGTTGCAGCACCTTGCAGCTGGGAATTGTTGTTCTTAGAAGCAGGGATTTGGTGACAGTTGTATAAATGATGTCACCGAGCGCAGATGTATTTGTCTGGGTATTTGTATGGCCAAGGCCTTGAGCCAGTGACTGAGACAGGACTGCTGTCAATAGTTTAAGCTTAGCCTGGGCCCTCTGTACATGTGATTTATTGATGTGGCCGTGAGTGTGGATAAGCCCGTTGGTCCGCCCGCTCTTGTGGTCACTGAAAGAGATTTTCCCCACAGGGCTTCCATTGCTTTAGCAGTTTCTAAATATGATTCTCATCATGCTCATCTCATGTGGTTGTTATGACAAATATTAGTCATTTATCATCACCAAAATCATTATTCATCCATTGTTTTTGGATATACTTTACAAAAGTAAAGTATATCCAAAAACTCATGAGATGATTGAAGTGCAGCATGCGCACAGGCTCACTAATGTTTTTTTTTTTTTTTGGGGGGGGGGGGGGGTTCTGTTCTGAGTTTGTGGCTGTAGAAAGAAGAGCAAACTAAAAAAGAACGAGCTTGCGGAAAGCATTTTCTCTCAAAATGTTAAATTTACTTTAAAGTGTACGAATAGATTTCCTTAGCCGCCCCACTTTGTAGAATTACGATAATACAATAGGTTTTTTTTAGCGTGCGCGCTTTCAGCTCAGGGCTTTCCGAGAACATGTGGCAGCAGCCAACTTGCATGTTTGGAAAGTGATTACACTTTTAACAAGAAATACGAAAAATGAAAGCAATTCATTGCATTCAGAGACTCTGAATCTTTTGATATAAGCACCAACATTTCTCTCAGTATCTATGACAGAATCAGCCCCTTTAGTCTAAAAGGAAACACTTGATGAAGTTTTTTCTTTATTATTGTCAATGGAGCCACAGACCCTTAGTTTTTATAAGCACATCAGTGCGTCACATCAGGTGACAGCAAAATACCTAATCCTCTAAACTGCGATTGACAGAAGTCCCCTATATTTTTTATATTATTATCATGTTATGAAGTCATGTAATATATAATGTAATATATAGTAATATTCGTGCTCTGTTTTTGATGTTCCTGTCTTCAGAGTCAATGAGCTTCAAACCAGAGGGCTAGAATTGAGTATAAAAGTTAGACATGATCACCAACTATATCAGTGGGTAATCAAATTCCCTTTAGCAACTGTAGTTTTTAAACATACAGTTTTTAAACTCACAAAGGTGACTTAAGCTAAGCTTGTCGTGCATTTTTTCACTTGCCTTCTTTCATGCCTTTGTATATTATAGTAATAATTTATTTCAGCACTTAATTTGTAGGAAATATAAAAACAGTGAGTCATTTATATCACACTATAATATATAATACAATTATTCATACACTGAAAGTACAGAAAGATAAAATTAACTGAGAATCAAACTTTTTTGTGTGTGTAAAAAAAAAGAAGAAATTAGTAAATGTCCATTAATATACTAAAAAGGGATGTTACACTATATTATCACTTCTTTCTTTAATATATGCTTATACATTAATTTTGTGCTTATTAGGACACGTTAAAAACTAGCGCTAAATGTCATGCTGGATTTGGTGCTGGTGTATGAAACAACAAAGAATAATATTCTTAGATTGTGTGTAGCAGGACAAACCCTTAAGTTCCTTGTCTGTGTCCTTTTAGGCCCGTCCCCGGCTCGCTGTCCTCACTACTGCACCTACGAAACAGACAGAGGCAGCCTCTGCCAGCCTCCATGCCTGGAACTCTGCCAGACCCGACCATGCCCGGCTCCTCTGCTGTGTTGATGCCTGTGAGTACCACAACAGATTACAGAGCATATTCACTTACAGCGGTGCTCACGCATGCAGAAGTAGACTCGTTTACTCCTGTGATGACAGTGCACTGTACATTCAGACTGAACATAAGCTGTGTTGGTGTTGCTGTGCAGTTTCGACTCTTCCTGCAGAAATGAATGGTTTTTTCCTGTGAGTTCAAAATGTAAATTTTCACTACAATTAAGCCAACTAAATTCAGAACAATCACATTGTGTAACAGGAAATGATAACAACATAGCAAAAGGCCCTCGTATCAGGATTGCAATGATACAACATATGTTCCGTTTGTAACATAAGACGGCTCAGTTTTATGGTGTGGAAAAATCCTTCCCATGTTTATTAAATTAAGGGCTAAGCGATTTTTGGGAAGATTGACGGTTCAGGAAAGGGGTGCACGTTTGGGTGATATTTTTACACAAAACACACTTACTGCAATTAAGATTGTGTGTCAGGTTCTAGACCCAAATCTCTGTGGACCAGGGGAAGGGGAGGGCAAGGAAAAGGTCCAGCCAGGGGTGGGGGTGAGAGGGCCCATGCCTCATGGAGAGCACCGCAAACTTCACCAAAACTTCAGCAGCTAAGAGGCCGCAACACCTTACACGCACACATGCATGTAGATGTTCAAGCAAACATATCGTCTTTCCTGTTTGCACCACACGGTGAACACGGGTCACCTTTCACCACATGTCATGTGAATTCTTCACATTCAGGTCTCAGCTATGACACATAACGACCAGACTAGAATCAATCAGAGACAGGTAGTGAGCGCATACACACAAAGACAGATGGTTAGAAATTTGTAGAGCTAACTAACCTATGTCCTTATTGAAACATCCTGCAACTAGACGACTTTGATGTTAGTCTGACAGATACTCACCAAACTGCTGTTAGAAACTCTCACACACACACACACACACCCCAGTTGCCCAGCTTCCTGTGTTAAGTCCCTGCATGCTGGCTTCCTGTTTTGGGTCAGCTCCAGTTATCATCACACAGAGCTGTGCACAGGGCAGCCTGTCATGTGAAATCAGGCTCTCATGCGTTCTCATCTCATGCTCCATAACCTCAAAGGATAGGTCTCACACTTAAAATGCTTAAAGGTTTTTGGTGCATACCTGTGAGAAAGCAGTGATTGCATCTCTGAAAAATCACCACTCTTAGCATAAATAGTACAGCATGATTGATATGTGTTTAAATAAAGCCCTGTTTACACTTGCGTGATTGTTATTGTATTGTTGTAATCTTCAGATGGAGAGACAAATGTCCATGGGCTCCAATATGATGGGCATGCAAAGCCCCGCCCACAGCAGCTCCTGCTCCTCCACTCACATTCCCTCCATGCACTCAGAGGCCAAACTGGTGAGTATATGCAAGCATTCACATGCATACATACACTTTTATGCCTGCACACACACACAAACACACACACACACACACAAGCTGAAAAGTGTTGCAACCTTCTTTTCCACTGGGCTCTGCCAGCAAGGCTGCACTCTTAGGCCTGTGTGGATTTCATCATTTGGTGTGTAATCAAAGCTGTGTCTGAACCTGCCAGTGCAGCACCGGAGACTCTGGCTGGAATAAAGGGCCCTTTATGTGGTTGTGGCTCGGCTGCCCACCAACTGCCTGATGTATATCTTAATGTACAGAACATGTTCTGTAGGTCCTGCAACTTGTTAGCACTAGTTTAACACAGCAGGGAAAAAAATCAAATGACCTCATCCTTTCACAAAGCATTTAGTTGTAGAAGTTGGAATAATATGTAGGCACAGGTTTTGAGAGTCAAAGAAGGACTGGCAGAAGAAAAAGCTCAAAAAGAAAAGATTCTTTGCACTGTTCTTGATTTTGAATGCCAGTACTGCTGCAACACTGGTTCATGACACCTCTGATTAATGAAAAATAGCTAAAAAGTTACATTTAAGGTGATATGAATTGATTAATGCTGTAGCAACGTGACCAACTGCCAACCTTTGTTTTAAAAATAAATAACTGGAGTGTCATGACATGGATATCGAGAAAAAAGAAATTATAAACCATAATGAAAAGAGTTGGCTGCTCTTTGTGTTTGGAAAGGTTCATAGATAGCTGGGTTTACTGGAGAGAAACATCCTGGAGAGGCAAAGACACACACATAGACAGAGAGAGAGGGAGAGAGAGAGGGGTAGCAGAGGTCATTAGAAGAGTTATTGGTCTGATAGAGGAGAGCGGGAGCAGTCCCAGGGCATTTAATTCTCCCTCTTCCTCCCGTTCTCTCAAGATTGATCGCCTTTGTAGTCTTTTGAATCTCTTCAACTGTTCCTATGGTAACACACTAGGGTAACACAATATTAGTGTATTAGGCTTATCTCTTCCCTGGCCATCATCCAGACATGTCTTACTCTTTTTTTTTTCTCCTCCTATCTGTGTAATTGAATTGTAAATGCTCTGTTAGGCCTCCTATAAACATATGCAGTCACTAAATGGCTGCAGGCCCCCTAACCATGCAACTTTCTGGTTAGTTGGCCATTCGGGCACGAGGCACAGCAACCCAATGTGTATCAATTGAGATTCTGCTCCCTGATGTCTGAACACAACTGATGGAATTTTGTGATTGTGGACAGAAAGTGAGAGACTAATTGTGTTATCCGGGTGCGATCTCCAGCGTGGGTTTCATAAGCATAGACGGGGTCTCTAATGTCTCCAATATCCTCGCCCGGGCCTGGTCGATAAATACGGCCTCGCTATCGGATAACTGGGCCATGATCAGGCCCATGTGTCCCCTGCGACGATCTCAATCCGGCTCTAATCGCATTACCCTGACCATGTTGACTTTCCGCCAATGGGAAATCTTCGCACTGTAACCCCACACCTCAGAGGAACGGATCTGGATGCACTCTTTGTGCTCAACGTTTACATTGTGAGAGCAGAAGAGGGGATTGAGTGGGACTTTGATAGACATGAAGGAAACGGACAGACAGGCAGAATAGGCAATAGAATTAAAAGGCGAGAAGCAATATTGATATACTGCAAGATCAAACAATGAATAAGAAGGGAGAAAATAGAAGACTTCTTAGGGAAAAGTAGAACCAGTTTCCTTTGTCTTTTCATGTTTGTGCATGCATGTATGGCCATATGGGTGAGCTTGCTGCTGTTTGATATTTTGTGGTAACTGGAGGCATCGGTAGCAGGATTATCCCTCCCCTGTCAGAGAAAGCATGCCCTGAGCCTGGGCTAATGAAGGCTAATTGATTTTGTGGTGGGCCAGAGCAGTAGGGAGGCCTGTCTCTGGTGTAAATAGTTAATGAGCCAAAGGACTGCTGTGGCCCCTTGGGGACTCATATCTTGCTCTAAGCTCTCTGTTTGTGCTCTCTGGGCTAAAGACTGTATCTGCATCAGTGCCCATCTTTGTTCTTCTGATTTTCTACTTAAGTGCCATCATTTAAGTGGTATAGCAAAGCTTGATGGTGGAATAATTGATATGTTTTTTTTTCTTAATGCTTTTAGTTTGTTGCCTGGGAGGGTTGCTGGGATTGGAATGTTTTATTAGTTTTAGCTCAAGTGTTTTTTTTCCCCCTTCTTGTTGTGAGGGACTGGGTGCTCTTGGTGCCGGGTGTGGTTGAATTCTGCTCTGTTGTGGTCTGGGGAATTGAATAGTGAGTGTTGTGTGCTGGAGCTTGTGGGATAGTTGACCCTCGCAGCGTGGAGGAAACGCAGTACAGAGGAGGCCAAGTTCCACAGCATGCCGGCCAAAGCATTACATCACCACTCCTTACGAGCGCACGCACACACACATATATGCACCGCGCGTGGACCAGCACTGTGTCATCTTGCTTGTACAAATAGCTGCAAAATCATGCACACACGTGCACCCACACATGCATGTACAGGCAGCCAAGACTACTTGAAAAACGACTGACAGATGAGATGCACACACAGAATACATGCATGCCTATAAAGGAAAACTGTAAAACATTTCTGAATACTTGTACTGTTTTCTACTCCCCACACCTACACCCCCAACCCACCCCAACCCTCACACACCACAGACCCCCTATGCTTAAATTTTGATATTTTTGTTCATGCAATGAAAGGTAATTGCTATCATTTTTCATCTGTAACAAGAAAAACCCAAACAAGCCCTTATCAAATTTCCCCTAAAAACAAACTCAAGTCTATGAATGCCCGCTGTGGCGCATGGCTCATGTCAGTGGCACTGTTTTCAGCATGGTGCACTTTGGCATTGTTTTATTGTGTCTTTTAACTGAGTCCCATGCTTTCCACACATCCTGACTGCTTGCTAATTTCAGAAAGAGGGGCCTTGAAAGGGCTTTGTGCTGGTGTATGAAAATGTGTTATTTATTATCTCCCAATTATCTATTGTTTATATTGTTACTAAGGACAATAAATTTGTCACTAAGCATCGGGCTAGGTGCTGAGATTTTTATGTGGTAAACAATACTATATGTTCTTTCACTGCAGCCTGCTTGGCTGTGGAGCTGGCACTAGATTGGTGGATGACATAATTCCTGGCATGCTCTAAATATGCTCCTTTTTACTTGAAGGGGGGGAGGGGGGGGCAAGCAGTGCTTCTCTTAAAGGAACATTTCATAGCACACAGGAGGGCCAATAATCAAAGTATTCCACGTGCACTGATGTTGAGTTTTCATTTCACTTGCACAAACCTTGCTGTTAGTTCTTCAGGGTAACTCTTTCGTACATGTTCACTGTTTAGCGAAACGCTTGATCTTTAATCCTGATAATCCAAATACTAGTTGCAATTCAGTAACTGCACTGAACTGCACCTATTTTGCTCACAAATTCCAAAAAAGTGAGGCAGCTGCAGATGTTACAGTTTTCATCTCTGCCATGTCATGATTGATGAAATGATTACCTTAGTATAAAATCATTTGTAAGCAGTTAAACCATTAGCATAAACTGTAACTCTGTTATGTGTTCCATTCATTTTCTTTCACCATAGTAGGGGAGCACCTCTGGCAAATTCTCTTGTTGTGAGGAGGAGGAGGAGCAGTACACACAATGAGAGTCTAACTACAGGTTTTGTAAGCAACATCTGTATGAATGGTGGCATTGTCGGGGTATGATGTCACTGAGCAGAGACGCTGAGCTAAGAGCACAGCTGAATCTGCAGACTGCTTGCGTTAACTCTAGCTTGTATGTACATTGTGTGTGTTTGTATGCATGGTCATGATTGTGTGTGTAAATGCCTCTTTTTTCACTGCACTGGCACCCCGTCTGGTACTCATTGTCCTTGGAGCCAAAACACATCTGTGGACAAAGTGGGCTAAAACAAACCATGAAGTCAGAGTTTGCATATGGTTTGTGATACAGATCAGTTATATGCATATGTGTGGTTAGTTAAGTAAACGTGGAAGATGTGCAGTCAACTAGTGACAGGGTACAAAGGACACATAGAGAGAAGGTTAAATATTTTGGATGCAGCAGAAGTTTATATGACTAGTGGTGGTGGTGGTGGTGGTGGTGGTGGTGGGGTTCTACAGAGATGAGTCCTTTTAGCAGCGTAGAGTGTGACGCAAGAGCTGCTGGATCAGTGCAACTGCCACATAAACCAGAAAGGAACTTCTGCTTCAGTGCGACTAAAATTGTACTTGTGAGATAGATAGATGAATCATCAAAAACCTCACGACACCACAATTTATCACCTTTTTCAACTATAAAATATGCCTGCCAACATCTGTTTGCAGAAAATCCAGAAGAAAACATGTTAGATAAAAGTTATAAATTGATTTCCATTCCACTGAATAAACCCAGCCAGAATTTTGGTTCCCAGGATTCTCTGTTGGATGTACTTTCAGCTGAGCCGATTTAACAAAAGTTTGCTCGGCCAACATTATCTCAGATTGGTGGTGAATTAGATGAGCCCTCTTGTTAACAGTATTTTGATGGTGTTTTAATGTCCCTGTAAAATCGCCATGGAAAATATTGGGATACTACGCTATGAGTGAGAACTCAACAAAACAACTCTATGTTTATATATATGTGTGTGTGTGCGTGTGATTGTGTTATTGTAAGATTATATTTAGAAAACTCATATTCACATTTGAATAGTGAGTGAGCGTGGCAGGAGGAATGAGTAATGTGTTAGTTGATGAGATTTCCTTCCCATTCTGTACCATCGGTTAGTTAGAAAACGATTTAAAGGACAAGTTCATGAAATTTACGTTTCATGTCTATTAGTTTATCGGTCTTTTAAGGACTTTACACAGTGGTGTCTGTGAGTGTATTAATTTTATTTATTTTTTTTATTAAATAGCATTTTTTAAAATCAGAGAGCTTGACTATAAGAATAGAGACAAATTACAGCAGAAGCACTTGCACAGTTACAACAAAACAAAACTTTG